CTCTCATCGCCATTGCAAGCAACCGCTTGCTCCAGTGATTTGAATTTCTGAACCTTTAGATTTGAACTTTACGTGTAGTTAAGGGGAATATGATATGACTGGCATTCGCATGATAAAAGTACGTTTGAGGCACATGCGGTGACAGCTCAAGCCAGGGATATACTTGACATTCAAAAACCCATTATGGAAACGCCATTGATGGAAAGAACAACATGCTTGTGGAATGTTTTATAATTAGATTCATGATTACTAACCTACTTTGAAACAATTATATGTATGGTTTTTGTGAAGAGAATGTTCCAATGTCTTTCGTAAGCGATGCTTCTTCACAACTTACATAGTATGGTGGAAGTTCAAGTTCTTCTGATGCAACTTCTATGATATTTCGAATTTGCGGGCATTGTTCATATGTAACACGAAAAATAACACGTCCTTTCTCTTCGAATCAATTATTATTGGTAAATTTTCTAATAGAGGACTTTATTTAACACAATATAGCACCAAAACATAAATTCTTCAAAACTACTGAATGGAATGTTTGAAATTTGTGAACAACGATTTGAAATGGGAAATTCGACCTAATGAAAGTTTTTCATAGAGAAATTTTCGATCACTCCAAATGAAACGAACAAATTCATTGATCTGTGATCAAATTCATACATGAAACATTCATTATATGTCTTGAAAACGTCCATAGAATAGAGTAGCAAAACCGGACCGACCCGCGGAAAGTGAACAATAAGTTCTCGTAAACCTAAGTGCTCTTCAAAAATAGAACAATCTCGAAGTGGTCGACTGATTGCACATCAAAAACTTAATTGATATGCGAAAATCTGCAGCGAACGCCTTGACAAAGATAATTTAAATAGCAGATAAATTTAGCTTTTGTACAAAACAGATCATTGCAAATGATCCATCAAGCAATCAATCATCCGTGAAAACACTCGATGATGGAGTGTGGAGAGCGGCCAGAAGATGCAATCCGCTCGTTGATAAGACAGTCAAATATTCTTCGTCGAGAAATTTCAGTGACATCGCCGGTGCGGGATTCTCGATTTGTGACGATGAACGAATGATCGGTTCTTCAGTGAGCAGATCTTCATGACGATAAACAAATATTGACTGCAATAAACTTAACAAATATGCAACGAATAACTCAATAAATAGCATGACATTTAAATTATATCATTGGAATAACTTGAATGATTGCGACTGTTCAGCATATTTTGCAGAATATTAGCTACCAGCTGAAGATCTGAGCAAACTATGGCACAGTTTCTTCGGTCGAAACATCACGCTTCAGTAACATCACTGCAAAACAAGCAAACAATTTCTTACACCATCATAGGTAGCGATAGCGACCATGCTTTGCGTGGCCGTCGAGCAAACGACTGTATCGTGACCCTTCGTCTCATCAAGCACCGACAAACGTTTCCATTCGAAGTGACTCTTATCCGCTGACATCGCTAAACTCCACACAGCCGCAGGACCCAATGTGGATGAGATCAGAATCAGAATCTTATCATCACGACCATCCAATCTCAGTAATTGCAATACCGATATTGCACCAGAAAACTTCAGTTTCATCCTAAATCAACCACTATCAGACATTCAATGAAGTTATCTTACAATATAATTCTTGAAGAAGTGAGAATATAATTCTTACAAATACGATTAGATGTCCACTGAATGAGCGCGATTCTTTCAATGGAAAT